CTTTGCCCCTGGCCTTTGTGGCATTTGAAAGCTTGGGCAGATTTGGGCAGGACCTGAATTGAGAAGCAGTTTACCAAACTGCGAGCCACCAGAAGTTGGCTCAGGTGATGTTTTAGGAGGGGCAACGGAAACTTTCCGTCTTCATAAAAACTGAACCCGGAGGAAGTGCCAGTCTCTGCAGGGAGTGGAGATCAGTGCTCCAAGCAGAAGCTGAGTTCAGTCCTGTGTCCTTGGTAATTACAAAGGTTCCAGCCAAACTCATTCTCCAGCCTTGCGAGTCATGAAAGGGTATTTTTTTTTTTTTAAAGATTTTATTTTTTTCCTTTTTCTCCCCAAAATCCCCCAGTACATAGTTGTATATTCTTCGTTGTGGGTCCTTCTAGTTGTGGTATGTGGGATGCTGCCTCAGCGTGGTGTGATGAGCAGTGCCATGTCCGCGCCCAGGATTCGAACCAGCGAAACACTGGGCCGCCAGCAGCGGAGTGCGCGAACTTAACCACTCAGCCACGGGGCCAGCCCCATGAAAGGGTATTTTGAAGGTTCTGCAGTGTTTTGGGTCTGGTTTTTTTTTTTTTGATGTTGATGGTCTTCAAATTAATTAATCAAGAAACAAACAATATTACTTATTAAACAGCTTTGTGAAACAGCATAATATAAGAATTATGCTGGATGACTCATGATTCTTGCTTAACTTATTACTCTCACAGCTATTTCAAGAAGAATAAAATGTGTCGTGTCCTGATACCATCTCTATTTGATTTCGTGCAGCCTGCTTTGGATTCTGTACTTAAGAAGTTCAGACAAAGGAAAGATTAGCGTCTTAAAGAACAAAAACCAAGCAACCCCTTGGTCTTTTCCAAACTAGGGCCAAAAAAAGCCGATTCGTCTCCTGCTTATCTACCTCAGAACTGAGTGGTGAAATACAAAATAGTCAAGAAGAGCTAGAACCCAGAGGGAGAAAATACGATCCTTGTGCCTATATCCTTGTATTTTCCTCCAGTCATAAAACCTTTATTTGACCAGCACGTACAAAATTTGGAGAAAGGGGAAGATGTGAAGAGAAAAAAGAAAGGGGAAACATTGATTCCAAAGGAGTTTATATGGGGGCACCGTATTCTGGCCAGAAATAACCTGCTCTGCACTACGTGTGCGACAAAGAGATTCTTCCCAGGCTGCATCCAGTGTATCAAGTTCCTTATGGATATGGTAAACAGAGAAGCACGCAGTTCTATTTTGGGAGTAGATTAAGTGAGAGCAATGATACTTAGATCATTTCGGGAATTGGCACATGGATTCCTCATCAAATTCTACGTGGGAATAAGAGAAATGAGTTTGCGTGTGATTCAGACAATCACAGGCTATATAATCTTGAAAGAGGACTCTTCTTAAAATCAAAGAACTTAACCATTTCTGCGTCTGTAGATTATTCCCACTAGGGTTAGGTTAGGATTAAGGATAAGGAGTAAGCTCTCTGACAGCATCCAGCCCAACTTACTTATAGTATGCATTTTGCAAATATATTTGTTGAGCTAATGAAGGGAGGAAATCACTTCTTCCTTCTTACCACCATAGTTCTACTAAGGGTGGTACAAAGAGCAATTCATAAGTAATTGTTTTCTTAACACTTTGATCTTTTTGAGAAAACACTCTGGCAGAAAATTTGGCTATTTTGATTTTTTTTTTTTTTGAGGAAGATTAGCCCTGAGCTAACTGCTGCCAATCCTCCTCTTTTTGCTGAGGAAGACTGGCCCTGAGCTAACATCTGTGCCCATCTTCCTCCACTTTCTATGTGGGACGCCTACCACAGCATGGTGTGCCAAGTGGTGCCATGTCCGCACCCGGGATCCAAACCAGGGAACCCTGGGCCGCCGAAGCAGAACATACGAACTTAACTGCTGCACCACCGGGCCATCCCTGGCCATTTTGATTTTAAGTTATGGGCTATCAAGGACCTTGATATACCACCTCCTCCATCTAGTGACTAGCCCTTCAGTTTATTTCTATGCTGTTAGGAAATAACACTTTTATGACAACATTCAGGAGTAGGGTGGAGTCACCTCACACATGCATTTAATGTACACATGACTTTAGAATCTACCTCCTGTGAAGATGAGACCAATGCCTAAGCATATGAGAGTGGCAGCTGTTCAGTGGGGCCACAAGAGGGAAGGCCCAAGTGGGATGAATGGCAAGCAGCAGGTGGCCACACTCTTCTCAGTGACTTTTCAAAGATGTGTGTCAGCAATCAAAATTTAGAGTAATAGCCAGAAAATACTGTCTGGGTACTTACTACACACCCACCATCATGCTCTAGTTACTTACATACTTTTTTCTTCTTTATTTCTCAAAACAACAGACATGATAGGTATTAAGGTTATAGTGGCTTAATATTAAAACAGAGTGGAGTTAAATTTGTGGGCGAGAAAAAGCACTTTGGAATTCTCCATCCTTTCCTCATTCACACTAGGAACTTGAGAATTATCTTAAAGGAAAGAAGAAGTGAATGTCCTGCCATCTAGATACAGATTTTCCCTTTCTTTCTTTCTTTAGCTCAGTGGCTCGCAATCCTAACTGTGAATATGTATTACTGTAAGCACTAGTTCACATATATTAAACTTTAAGCACGATTTAAGGGAGTTTATGATAGTTTTGACTACACCAGATTTTTGCTTTAGGCGCTAACTTTAAAACTAACCCTCGATTAACAACAGACCCCACTTTAAAGTGAGCAATCAAAATTTAAAATATAAAACAAAATTCCAGAAACAGTAGTTATTGCCAAATGGTGTTCCACTGTGTTAAAGAAAGATTGAGAAAGTAATTTAAATCATCTTTTCTAATATCAGCATCTTGATGCCTTTGGCTCTGATGCCAACTACAGGAAAGAAAAAGGATCAGATAAGGAAGAGTTGTTCAGCTTCAAAGTTTCTTTAATAAAGTTATCTTTCTTGTATAGTCCTATATAGCATAAGAGAAATTGCTCAAACTTTCTCTATATCTTTTCTCACCTGTAAGAAGGAAAGGTAATACTTATTTACAAAGAATAAGTTTTAAAATCTCATCTTTTCCACGAAAGATTTACAGGCTTCTTGGAAATGCCCCTTTTTTCTTAAGCCTCCCATAGCAATCATTTGCCACATGGCGCCAGGGCCCAGAGTTTATGACAGTTTATGAGTATCAGAGCCAGACAAATTGAGTGTAAATACCAAGTCTGCCACTTAGTAGAAATATCACTTTCTGCTATTTATTTCACCTCTCTGACACTCAGTTTCCCCAGGCGTGTAATGGGAATAATTTCTTGCTCCCTCCCAGAGCTATTAAGGACAATGTGCCTGGAACTCAGCAGACATTCAAAAATATTTGTTGACTGAATGAAAAGTAATTGTGAAATACATAATATAGAAGGAGCCCATAGTAAGTTCTCATCAAACTGTAGTAATTATTATTATCACTTCCTATCATCTACTAAATATGTGGGAATGATTTTGTTTTAAACATTCTAAGTAAATAAAAAGAGCAGATTCAGGAGACATGGGAACATTGGTGAGAGAACAGAATGCCAATATAAAAGTAATTATGACAGTATTTGAGAAATTTTATTTGCATATGCAAATTTTGTCCAGTTCCAATTCTGCCATCAAAGCACACTCCATTAGATGGCCACCAGGTGCAAGGGCATGGATGCTTTCACACAGCTCTGTGGCTGTAGTCTCTACATTTGGCTTAAACTCTATTCCGTCAGCATCAGATCAGCCTTACTCCTCTGGTCTCTCTCAGGTCTCAGTGGTACTAGTGGGTCTCTCACAAGATCATCTGCTCTCATTTCTCATAAGTCTTCTGTGGGGTCTTCCTGCTCCAGCCGGTGGGCCCCTGCCAAGCTGGCTGGCTTCCAACTCAAAAACCCAGGAAGGCTAAACTTCAAGGCCCCTGCTGACTATAGCACTGTCAAGCTTACTGGAATAGGACTGTTTTCCAGACTGGTATGGAGCATCCTATAAGGTGGCTTCTTCCAACAGCACCAAAGGGCAACACGGCAAGAGTTCCCTTGCTGTTCAGTATTTCTTCAACTTACCTAACTCATCTCCTGTTCTCCAGGCCCAAGTTGAGATGGGCTATCAGGAAACCTATGAAGACTATTGCAGTCTGCTCTCTCTCTCTTTTCCTCATATTACCACAGTCCTTTTTTACTGCCTTTATAGCATATACTCCATCTTAATGCCACTAAGCCTTCATGACCAGAGGGATAGTTCCTCTCTACTCTATGTTAATTCTATAAGCTTAATCCCTCATGCTTGGTTGTTGATCTGCCAATAAAGGAAGAAAATAAAGGAATTCAAAAATCTTCTCTCAAGACAATATCTTGGTTTGCAAGGCAGTGTTTTTTCTGCATAATCCCATTTTGCATGTCAGAAGCTAAATATTACCTTGGTCTTAGTCTTTGCACTGCTTCAGAACCCTATTTTAATCTTCTCTGTAGACAGATGGATGCCTTGGATGGAGTAGGCAGAAGGTCTAATGCCTGAAAGACAATGGGCAAAAGCACATTAGTACTTTCTTGAACATTTCCCTACAATATTTCAGGTTTAAAGTGCAATTTGTCAGGAAATTTCCCTTTAAGAATATCACAGATATTCAGATTATGAGTCTGCATAATATTTTAAAAATATCTCATTCATTATTTGTATACAGTACAGAATGTGCAAAAAATAAACCTGGGGCTCCAAATTCTGTGCCGTTATGACTGTGGTTTATAGATAACATTCTCAGTGTAAACTATTTTGGTAATTTTACGGTGTTGACATTTGTCTATGCTGAACTAAGCTTTGATCGGTTTCCCTAAATGGAGCCATAAAACTGCATAGCTGTTTTCTAAGATGAAGATTGTTGGTTTTGGTTATGATCAAACTAATAAATTGAACGGGCTGGCTTAATCTCTAGTACACATTGATGTAGATTTTAAACTAGAAAAGCAGAAAATGAAAGTATGTTTTCTTTGGCAGGCATTTGATGTACTTGGAAGAGTTGAAGCTTACCTTAAGCTCCTTAAATCAGAGGGTTTAAGTCTGCCTGTCTTGGCAGCGAGGCATGAGGAATTAAACAGAGAAATTAAAGACTGCACAGCTGATGCTTTGCAAAAGGGACAAGACTTAATCAGCCAAGTAGGCTCCTGCAGGTAAGTAAAGTCTGTTTCTTCCTCAGTGTAACGAGCTTTGTCACAGTTTCCACAGCCTGTTAAAAAATAAGTTGCATGATTTTTCTTCTGCTTCTGATGTTTTGCTGCATTATAACATGGCTTAAAGGGATCTGCTGAATTTTGGTCAACAGTGATTCTGAATACAGCATTACTCATCCAGAAGTGAGGCCATAGTCTAAGCCTGAGGACCTCAGGATGCTAGAGCTTCTTTCTATGGGTTTTCTAGAAGGGGAGGGAGAAAGGACAGAAGAAGGAGCAGAGCTTCAGTTCTCAGTGCTTTTCATATCCCAGCACCTCCACGGACTTTCTTCCTCCCTTTTAATTCATGAGCCTTCTGTCTACCCTTTTCCTTTTTTCCTTTCTGGAAAAAGTAAAGCACCAGAACTCTCATTTGTGACCTTGGTGGCTCCCCAAGCAAAACCCTAAGTAAAAGGTGACATTAATAATGATAATAGTAGCTCACTTTTTTTGTTTTAATTGAGAGCTCACCATGTGCCAGGTGCTTGCTAAGAGCTTTAGGAGCATTATCGCATTAATCCTCACAGCAACCCTACAAGGCACATGCTATTAATGTTCTCCTTTTACAAGTAACTGAGACAGAGAAATTAAGTAACTTGCAAAAGTTCACCCAGCCAGTTAGTAGCAGAGCCAGAATTTGAATCCAAGTGCACAGACCCTAGACCCCATGCTCTTAACTAGTGTGCTAGGGTGGATTGTTTGTATGAGCATATTCGGTGAGCGTATCAGTGTGAGCTTAGAGTTGGATGGGAATGAGGAGAGAGAAGGACCTTGAGAAACAAAAAGAGAATGCAGTGGGAACATATGAGAAAGAATAGGGATTGGAAGACAAAGGGGAGATGATAGAGTGGGTGGTGGGACAGCTATTGACTAGGAAGAAATGAAGGTATGGCTTGTGCTTTGACAGAGAGAGACAAGAAGATTGGTGCAAATGGGGTGAGCCCAGTTTTTTATCTTCCATAACCACAACCTTTTTATTTTTTATTTATTTATTTTTTTGAAGGAGATTAGCCCTGAGCTAACATCTGCTTCCAATCCTCCTCTTTTTGCTGAGGAAGACTGGCCCTGAGCTCACATCCATGCCCATCTTCCTCTACCTTATATGTGGGACACCTACCACAGCATGGCGTGCCAAGCAGTGCCATGTCCGCACCCGGGATCTGAACCGGTGAACCCCTGGCCGCCAAAGGGGAATGTGCAACCTAACCGCTGTGCCACTGGGCCAGCCCCTCCACAACCTTTTTGAAACTCAGACATTCAATTTGAAGAACAATGAAATAGGTCAAATGTGGTAAAATTATTTTATTTCTGTTTAAACCTTCATTTTGCTCTCTTTTAGACGCATTTACAAGTGTTGGTTTGGTATGTTTAGGTTTAGCACATTTTCTTTTCAGAAGACAGTCTGAACACAGACAGATATTTAACCAGAGCATGTGATGGTTGCTATGCGACCATGTGAAGCCGAGATTAGACATCATCCAAGGTCTTCCAGTAGGAGCCAAAAAGTGGAGGCAGTGAGAAGGGCAAAGGATTGTCCCCTCTGAAAAACCAACAATAATAATTGTAGCTACTAATCTTTACTTTAGTTCCATGCCATGTATCAGGCAATGATGTTTCCTCTCCACTCCAGGAGCCCCAGTGTGCCCATGCCTGGCCACATGGTCACACGGTGTGGGTACGAGAGCACCTCATCCCCCCCCCCACCCCCCCGCTAAAGGTCCAGTCTTCCAGAATGCATATTTGTCTTGGACCATGCAGAAGATATGCTGCAGGGTGCCTAGACTTGTTGTGCCCGGGCTCAGGCTACATGCTGCGCATTGATCTGAGCATGTGATGACTAACTGGTGAGGTCTCCAGTTATAATTGGGGAATGGCCCCATGTCAGTTTAGCAAGTGGATCTCAAAGCATAGACAGATACTACTTTTTTCAGGCTACTCTTTACTTGTGGTGCCTTCCCTGGCCTTGGGCAGTTTCCTTTCATGCATGAGCAGATCAGGAGGCAGCCAAAGACCCCTCCCCAGATCTCTGGAGATCTGTCTCTGGTACGCTGCCCCAGAAATTCCATGTGCGTTGGCCTCCCCAAAGTCTGATCTCTGCCTCCTCAACTCAGCAAAACCTCTGGGCTCTGTTTGAGCTTCACCTCCTTGAACTTTGGTCTGGAAATTACCTCCCAGGCAGTAAGCTGATGCAATCGTAGGCTCACCTCCTTCATTTCCCTTCTCTCAGGGAGCCTGTCCTGTGCTCCCTGCTGTTCAATGTCTGAGAACCACTGTTTCTTATGCGATGTCTATTTTTCTAGTCATTGAAGCATGAGGGTAAATCCAGTCCCTGCTTCTTGGCCAGAAACTGAAGTTCCCGATTCAGTTTTGATCCTTAACTCCTGGAGTTGCAAAGCTGGTCACAATTTATTACTGCTGATCTTTATCCTGTTTGCTCTAATCAGTAATGCTTTATTTTTAATATTTAAATACAAGAGAAGAGCTTTTATCTTATCTTACATTCTGTTTTCAGGGTTTTAGTGACTGTGTTTGGCCATCTACCTTGTAACAGTTGACGTGTTTATTTACTTAGTAAGTCTCATTCTTTTTTTCCTTCTTTGCTCTTTCTAGTCAATTTTTACATATTTATTGTTTTTCAAAGGAGCGTCTGTAAGTTCTGTTCTTCAGGCTGCAGACTAGGGCTCAATGGAAGCAGCAATACTTAGGAACCATTTCAAGAAACTTGAATTAATAGTTAGGTAACTGGATTTAAAAAACAATTGGCAGTATGGTTTCTGCAACATCCTAGATATGTGAGCTTTCATAGTGGTTCCAAGGTGCTTGGTTGCCCTGAGATTTCACAATATTTTACAAATCAATACTGTTTCCATTTTGCAGGAGGAACTGAAGGTAAAGTGAAATTGTGACTTGGCAAAAGACATTTTTGACTCAGAAGGTAGATGTAGAATAGAAATCCATTAAAAACTGAATTGAAATGCATTAGAATCTCAGTCGCAAACTAGTGCCACACATAGCTACTGACCTCAATCCTGTGCATTCCATTTGGGACTTGCTTCCCTTCCTCGTCTAATGGTTCACCTGTTCAACGACCTGGGTCACCATCATAGGAAAGAAACAGAACCTAAGAAGAGGATTTCAAGTTGCAGCCACTGCTGGAGTGAGGGTGGAGTTTAGAATGCTGGCAAGGGAATTGAACATAAATTTCAACAGGGCAAATTACATGTTATTGAACATCACAATGGCTTCCTAGACTTCTGAATACCAGCCACACAACTAGGACACAAACCACTAAGGTTCCTATTATCAGACATTTGAAAACTGGCATGGATAAGAAACTTAAGACTTAGAATCGAAGGAGTTTTATTTCATGCATTCTGAGGGCCCAAACAATGCCACGACTTTTAAACTTAGCTTCTCTGAACCCCAGTCTCTTCATCTGTAAAATGGAGCTATATATTTCATAGAGGTTTTTGTTTTAATCGAAGGAGATAGCACCACTCGTGGCACATAGAGAGTACCCAATAAAAAAATGGTTCACTTATTTTTATACCTTCTATACAAAGAGCTTTAAAAGCAAAATATGAAGTCACATGGTTGTTTTAAATGACTGCAACAGAGTTAGCTGCACCAATTCATATTCATTTTCACTAACTGGGGAAGGTTATATTTGAAAGGCGGCAGATAAACATTTATCTTAAGGTAATAAAAGGCAAAATTTAGTACTGGGGAAGACAGAATTTCAGAGACCCTGAGATCTAATTTTTTTTTCCTATTAGTCAATAAAAAAGGACTTGAGAAGTTCACATTTATCTGAGATGAAGCTTCCCAGTAAATCTGGGACGTTTGTCATTATTTTTCTGTAATTACTACCCTATTGGAAACAGATTCACACTGTTTTTCTATCCTGGAATCAAGCACCTTAGAGATTGGAGCAGCCTCACAAAATAAATAATGATTATTTACATGTTTCTTCCCCTTTCTATTTCCTCCCTATAATCGGGTGATAATTCTGAGTCATTGTTAAATAGTTTATTATCTTTTCAGAGTATAATATTTGTCACATAACTGAAAGAAAGAAAGAAAGAAAAAGGAATTAAAATGCTTTGATTTTAAAAGCATTTTAGTGCATTCATTTGTACCTAATTATGATGCAAGTTACCTATAAAAGTATCTGATAATGGTTGAACTTAGACTTATAGCGAAGTTGAAAGCTCCTGGCTTCTGGCCCCCTCATCTCTTCCTAGGCCTTGAGTGGCATCATCTTTGAGCATTGAGTCTAAAGATGGACCAAAGGTGGCCTGCCACTAAGCAAAATTCTGCATTTATTAAGCCACAGGAAGCTGTGGTGATTGGAAGTGCTGCGTCAGAGACCTTGTGTGAGGGTGAAGTTTTCCCTAATTGGACAAAAACAAGGAACCTCTTTTTTATTTCTCGGTGTAGCTACCAATTCAGAACCTAAAAACATATAAACACCCAACAAGACTAGGAATCCCTGTGAAGTATTCACTTGCCTTTTCTTGTTTGCTAAAAATAACTTAAGATTTACAAGTAAACTGGCTCCAGTGTAGATTCCATTTCTATCCTTGTATAAAAAGACTACGGGTTTTCATTCTACCTTGTTATGGAGAATTTAAGCTTATAAACCTCATCTGGTCTGAATATTTTGCTTTGGTATAACCTTAAGTATTGTCTGTTTTGATCTAACACATTATTACTTTTTTACTGTTAATTCTTTATATTTTCACGTTTTACCGAGAAATAAAAACAGGAGTTAATTGGGATTTTGCATTCTCTTTCCATGATTTTCATTTGTGTTGGCTACCACTACTTCCCTTGGTTGATAGTATGAATGGTGATGAACTTTGGACAGAATGTGGTTCATTCATTTGTTCATTCCGAAAATATGATTGAGTGTCTTTCGTAAATCAAGTATTCCCAAGCATCTAATGCAATAAGGGAAG